GTTTCAGGGTTAAGGGCTTCGGGCTTGGGGCATTAGGGTTTATCGGGTTTAGGGTTTAGGGTTATAGGGTTTAGGGTTTAGGGTTTAGGGTTATAGGGTTATAGGGTTTAGGGTTTAGGGTTTGAGGGCTTGGGGCGTTAGGATTTAGGGTTTGAGGGCTTGGGGCCTTAGGATTTAGGGTTTGAGGGCTTGGGGCTTTAGGGTTTAGGGTTTGAGGGCTTGGGGCTTTAGGGTTTAAGGTTTAGGGCACTGTTCCGAGCAGCCTAAACCCTGAACCTTACCCAAGACTCTAAGTACCTACAGGTTTATGAGGTCCAGCCTGGGCCTACTCATTAAGGGGTAACGGCTGCTAAACTGTAGGTAAGAGAAGTTACAGGTAAACCTTCCCTACACCCCCAGGTGCCTACTATATAGGGCCCTAGGGGCTCTAGTACCCTATATAGTAGGTACCCGCTAAGCCCTAAACCCTAAACCCTGAACCCTCAACCCTCAACCCTCAACCCTCAACCCTAAACCCTAAACCCTAAACCCTGAACCCTAAACCAAGCAGAGGCATGATCAAGTCTCACGGCGCGGTCTGGAAGATGGTGTGGGCACTTCGTCTGCGCGACTTTAGGGATCGAGGGCTTAGTCAGTCGGTCATACGTAGACTAGTAAGGGTTTAGGGTTTAGGCTTTAGGGTTTAGGGTTTAGGGCTTAGGGTGTAGGGTTTTAGGGTTTAGGTTTCAGGGTTTAGTGTAGGGATGTTGAGGGATTAGTCCCGCCATCTCGACGAAGTAGGGTGACAGCTCCAGAATGGAAGGACTCCCAGAGTGTCCATACTACATTTTACACTTTGATCATGGAATTAGGTCCCACATGTCCATCCGTTTTTAGTGTTGGGGACTTGCTTCCAAAATAGTAGCACGTGAGTAGTTCTCTAAATTAGGGTCCTTTTTGAGGTCCCCAAAATGCAACGGCACTCTTATAGAAAGGATCCTCAAAGGAGCCTTAATTTGAAAGCGTTCCCTAAACATGGACCTCCATTTAGGGCACTTCTAGCTCTGCGTGTAAACCAAATTGCTAAATCCCCTGGACTTCTAAATAACCCTTATTCCGCTCATTTAGAGGCCCGGGAAATGGCAGAGGATCCCCTTTAGAGTCGCCCCTGTAAAGGTATACACTGTACAATATGCTCCTAAACCCTACTAAAGTAGAAGCCAGAAAGTTGGAACATGGTTCTCCTCATGCCCTTAAGGTAAGGTATAGGGAATCCCAGCACTAATCATCCTAAATTCATGTTCCAGCTTTCTGGGATTCACTATAACGAATTCGAAGGGTTTCCCAGACAAATTCAGAGCGTTTAGGGGGTTCGGAGCTTCGGACCTTCTGTCAGTCGCCTCGGAAGACCAAAACAACTCCGAAGTCCGAGATTACCAGACCCCGGCAAAAGAAAAAAATGAGCCAACCAACCCCCTAAACCCTAAACCCTAAACCCACTCTCCCCCCCCCCAAAAAAAAAGAGATGAAAAACTTAACGGTCAACCCTGCACCCCTTGAACCTCTTGGCTCCGAGCCTTCAGGAAGAGCGGGATGGAAGTGAGCAGGTCGAAGTCCAGGTCCTTGGTATATGGGCCTTAATTAGCGGGATAAGGTTCAGGATGTACTGACCATGACAGGGTTCAAGGTCAACCCCCATTATCGTGGAGGACCTAATGACGAAGATAAGGACGTGCGGTTTTTTTGTAATCAGAAGGAACCTTGAGGAGAAGTGTCCCTGCCCAAACCCGTAACCTCCCTTAGCACTTCAACCCGAAAACCCTGGGTTTTGGGGGTCCATGGCTCTGGAAGCAGCTGCCTCCCTTCCAGGTTTCCACAGATGTCAGCCTCGGGGACGAGGCAGAAGTGGGTGTACCTCAGTGGGCTTTGGGGGTTTAGAGTCTTCTTTGGGTTCAGGGTCTTCTTTTGGGGTTTTGCGGTTTAGGGTCTTCTTTAGTTTTCCTCTTTCGGCTTTCTGCTTGGATCTTTGGGCTCTGGGTTTTGGGCGTGGCGGTGTACCTCCACATCTAGCATGTGGCGTTGTTCCTTGCGGTTTACGGCTTGGACCACTTGCACTTCAAGTTGAACGGCGCGCCTCAAGAGAGCCGTCATGGCCTTGAGGCTCGGGGTTAGGCTCTCTGGGAGCTTCCGATTCTGCCTACTACTCGCACTCCTCCTACGATCACTCCGACTCGATCTCCTCCTCCTCCTCTTCCTCCTCCGACTCCTACTTCTACTCCTGCTCCTACTCCCACGACTAGTGGTGGTAGTAATAGTAGTAGTAGTAGTAGTAGTAGTAGTAGTAGTAGTGGTGGTAGTGGCAGTGGTAGAGGCAGTGGCAGTGGCAGTGGCAGTGGCAGTGGCAGTGGCAGTGGCAGCGGCAGCGGCAGCGGCAGTGGCAGTGGCAGTGGCAGTGGCAGTGGTAGTAGTTGGGGTCGTGGTCGTGGTATTGGTCGTGGTGCTGGTAGTGGCAGTCCTAGTGGTAGTAGTAGCAAGGTGATGAAGGAGCGTGTGCCCAAAGAGACTTTCCTGAAGTTTGTTTTTGGATGCAGTTTTTTCCGGAATGTCTGCAAACTTGTGGAATTCGGCTTTCGTGTGCATTTTCTGAATCCATCTGCGAGGACAGATTGCAGATTTGGAGTGGAGGACAAAATTTGTGCAGATTTGATGCGTTTTTTTGATTGCAGGGAAGTGGTTTGTTTTGCCCTTGATCGAGTCTCAGAATTTGGTTTTCGCGGAAGTCGTAGTAGTAGTAGTAGTAGTAGTAGTAGCAGTAGTAGTAGTAGTAGTAGTAGTAGTAGTAGTATAGTAGTAGTAGTAGTAGTAGTAGTAGTAGTAGTAGCCGTCCTACAAGTGGTCGTAGTAGTACCTAGGCCCAGACCCGAAATTGCCCTACATCATGACACAGCCCCTAAACCCCCAAAGTGCCCTAAACCATGCCCCACACCCGACCCCCTGCAGTAAACCCTAAACCCTAAACCCGGAGCCCAAAGCCCTAAACCCTAAGCCCTAAACCCTGGCAACCTTACAACCAGGCACCTCGCGATCTCCCGCTCGTAGAGATCCCCAGGGATGGCCGTGAAGTTCGCGATACACTCGTGCTGCTGGGCCTCAAAAAAGGACAGCAACATCAGGGTTTAGTGGGTTTAGGGTCTAGGGCCTCAAAAGTGACAGCAACATCAGGGTCTAGGGTTCAGGGTTTAGGGTCTAGGGTTTAGGGAAACCAAAACCCTTCACACCTAAGAATACGACCCTGGCAAGAATGGAAGGAAACACGCAGACGCCCCCGAAGAGGTCTGAGGGGCCGCGAGAAACGAGGCTCGAAGAAGAAATAACAACAACGGCATCTTCGGAGGTGTACAGGGGGAACCGAAAACCCCTGACCCTAAATCCTAAAACCCCTAAACTAGACCTTAAATCCTAAATCCTGAAACCCCTAAACCCTAAA